TGGTTGAGTGTGCCTGTACTCTGTAGCCTGTGCATATAGATATGTAGAGTCAGTCCTGTGTCTCTCTACTACTAGGTGCCAACAAGCTGTACCCAATCTGAGTCCGGATCCTCCATCAGCCCATGGACTACGTATGCCTTCCCATAAATATGCCTACAGATCTTGGATTCATCTCTCACCCACCAAATTGTTGGTTACCGGTTGCAACCGACAACCAAATGCAGAACAGCAAGGGCATTTTCCTTCAAAACAAATATATAGTGCAGAAATGGCATGGAAGATGGCAAGGGAGCTCAGCTAGTAGCCCTACTAGTTCCAGTTGAACGGGCTGTTGAAATGGCAAACAGAGGAAGGTTGCAAGTTCATAACCAGGCAGCTCAAGTTGTTGCCATGAAGAGATCACTCATCAGAGTTGTGATTCTGCAGATCTTGCCTGCACATTTAGTGCCCCCACATGCAGCCTCACCTGCAATACGTCTTTTCCTTCTTGTGAAGAGGGTCCTGCGGCGATCTTGTTGGAGGAGTGGAGTGGTCTAGAGATCTCGGCACCATGTCATGGGTTACATTACATATGTGATGCTGCTGCTGGTTGCCTGGTTCTGTACGTCTTTGTGACTGACTATGCAGCATTCATTAATCTGCTCATCAGTCTCACGCGTGCGAACACGGGGGAGCTTCTGAGATCCAGTCTTTGTGACTATGCAACATTCAACATGCTAACTGGCTGTCAGGCACGTTAGCACATTAACTGATGGGTCCTCATGTTCATTGTCCTGCACAAAGAGCACTGCATCAAGTCAAATGAAATCTGTAGACTTGATGGAATTTAAGGGGAAAAAAAGCTTATATAGGTTAGTTACTAGCAAATATGCCCGTGCATTGCAACGGGAAAAAAACTAAACGTAATTGAATTAAAATACAATCTTGATAGTTTGACGTAAATATACTATATATAACTTTTATTTTTAAACTATCTATGTGCTGCAACAGTAAAATATCAAGTTTCATTGCTTTCTTTGAGAACCCATAAAAAATATACTCCCTCCGTTTGGCTACAAGCCTGAAATTACAGTTCATCCGTATGAGACATTTTCCTTTTACCAACCACGACGGAGTCCATAGTCGAAATAAGATCAAGCGATTCGTTGTGCAAAAGGCAATGACTTACATGAATTTCACAGCGCTCACACTTCCGTAGTCTCCAATCCTCCCTCCGTGGCGACAACAGTACACACCACCCCGAGTCATATAGAAGCGCCTCCACAAGCGTCCTCCTCGCAAAAACGTCATTCCAGGAGCACGAACACCCTGAGTCCGCTAACTCGGCGTCACTGGTAGGGATGGCAACGGGTCGGGTGAGATGCGGGTGGAGCAAAAACCCGTCCGCAATAAGACCTGCAACAGGCAGCTGCATCCGCATGTGATGAGACCCGTGGGTAAGAAGTTACACCCGCACCCGTGGGTCACCCGTTGGGTTTCGGGCGCCCATCGGGTCTGCCACAATAGAACAATAATACATTATTATGAATTTGGAAAATAACAATTTAGTATATATAAATCTGTGAAACCACGTTGCTTAGTCACAAATCACAACTCAAAAGTTCATATTTTGCATCACAAACCATTACACATCCACCGCTACACGACTTGACATGCTGTATCACTACACAAACAAAAAGGAAACGTAAAGAAAACATATCAGTACCCACATCTGTTGAAGAGACGAACACAACTCAAAAGTTCATATTTTACATCACAAACCATTACTACTACCTCCACCGCTCCACGACTTGACATGTTGTATCACTGCACAAACAAAAAGAAAAAGTAAAGAAAACAGATCAGTACCCACTGTTGAAGAGCCGAACGGGGTGAGTTGCTGGCCCAAACTGTCTTTATTTGTTTGCAGCCCTCCTGTTTTATATATAGACGGCTAGAAATCCTAATCAAATAGATCTCTCCGATCTTAAATCTGAATAGAAATTTTAATCCAAATAGAGATGTATCTGTAGTTTCTACCTTTCTTATGGTAATATTAAACAAGAATTCTTTGGTTTTAGTTTTTTTTTGTTTTTTATTTCACCTCGGCTTTTTCCTCTCTAGATTGTTTTTGTCTGAGCTTCCGTAGTTTTTTTCAATGTTTTTTCTTTTCCGCTTTCCTTCTTCTATAATTTTTGTCCGTTGTTTTTTCCCCTCTTTTTTCTTCTTTTGTTTTTTTTCTCGGACTTCGATCTTTTTATTTTGTCTCGGTAGATTGTTTTGTTTGTTTTGTCTAAAGTTTTTTTTCTTTTTTGTCTGAAGAGTTTAGAAGTTAGATTAAACTCATTGGGAAAGAAAAATAGGAAAATAAATAGCACCGCAGATGCACTCCTATTTGAACTCGCTGATAGTAATTAATTATGTATCTGAATCCTAAAAAGTAGTAGAATGAGGTGATGGACGAACATACGAGCATGGCTTATGAGTCCGGGTCACATACACGACCCAATACATTTTTGAATTGGACACTATATCGCGCTAGACAAGAGCTATTATAACTCGTATGAGCACGGATATATATAAGTCCGGACGGAAGAAACTCTTTATTGTTCGGTAATTATAGGGAGATGAACCAAAAAAAGGCTGAAATTTTGCCTCTTTATTAGTAGGTATATATATATATATATATATATATATATATATATATATATATATATATATATAACCCTCGCGTCTTTGGTATTAGAAGTCGTTTAGGACATGATTGCGCATACCAAGGAGTGCCAAAGAGTGATTAAATAGGGGTATTTTTCCATATCCGCCCCTATTAAATAGCGGTCTTGGTTGCCTCTGTCTGATGAAGTGATGAGTAGCCCGAGCGGCTATGCCTCTGCGTCCCCAATGCAGGAGATCGTTGGTTCGACTCCTCGAACCAGGGACTATTTTGTTGGCTCATTTTTGGCTCATTTTGGGTTGCAAGCACGTTTTTTGGCCACCCGTGACATTTTTGGCGTGTTTTCGCTGCTGATGCTTTGCGTGCGTGCGGATCGCTGCCGGTTTTGGTCGAATTTTTCCGTGTTTTCGCTGCTGCTGCTGCCTTGCGCGCCGATCGCTGCCGCTTTTTATTTCAATTTTCATCGATCAAGCGCCTGGTGCTGCTAGCCTTTGCCACTCTATAAATAGTCTTTTTCTCTCCAAACGAGCGTTCTGTTCGTCTCCTTGTGTTCCTGTTTATGCTGCTAGCTAGTTCAGCTACAAATATCGGATTATATTCCTAGGTTCGATCTCAACTTGCTGGCATCCCAAGATGATGAAGGCAACATGTTTGATCTCAACGAGCCCGTCGACGCTGCCGTCGACGTCGTGTTTGATTTCAACGAGCCCGCCGACGCCGACGCCGACATCGACGCCGACGCCGTGCTTCATCTGGACGAGCAACTAGACGATGACGCTAACGACGTTTTAAATCTCGACGAGCCAGAAGATCACCACGGAGGTAATGCATCACTTAGTTGTATCCTTCCGTTGTTCAGATTATTTTTGGTTCTCATCATTTGTTTCATTTTTTTTTCAGTACTTGATTTGAACTTACCAGTAGATGAGTTCGGTTGACATGTCCTTGATTGTTTTCTTTTAACAGACCATGCTGTGGACAATCCAACCGTGGAAGAACAAGTTCAACCACACAGCCGAAGGAAAGAAATGAGTGAAGAGGTCCGAAAACAAGTTCCTCCGACTCCGGCGAGATGAACTGCTGCGACTCCGGCGTGACGAACTGCTGGGACTCCGGCACGACGAACTGCTGCGACTCCGGCGCGACGATCATCTCCTCCGACTCAGGAACGATCTCCTCCGAGTCCGCGGCCATGGAGTCCGCAACCTCCTCCATCATCTCCGAGTCCGCGGCCACGGAGTCCGGGGCGAACTGATCCGGCGTCGAGTCCGCCGCATCCATGGAACTGCTAGGGCGAGGGTGAGCCGTGTGCGGCGTGGAGCGAGGGCGAGCTGGTGTGCGGCGTGGAGAAGAAGAGCTAGCGGCGAGGGGCGGGCTGCGAGGAGCGACCGTGAGCTGGAATCGCGGCATGCGGCGGCGGCTTGCGCGATTAATAGCAGCATGCAGGAGGCGAAGCAATAGGCGCTGAGTCAAGGTTCCTGGAATCGCGGCATGCAGCGGCGCATGCGCTATTAACGTGGACACGGGAGCCAAAAGCAGAGGGGTACAGGCGTCCACTTTTCTCCCTCGAAGCCAAAACGACTTCTTTTGCTTGATTTCAAACTGAGCCCAGAACGACCTCCTTTAGCAGTATGGAGGGTATATATATATATAGAGATTTATTGCATGATCTGAGTTAACAGTGCATGGTCACACATCTCCTTATGAACCTTGAATTGAGCACAAACCACAGGGACAACGCATGCGCGTTTCTGCTGTACTAGGATAGAGTAACAGGCAAATGAACAGCAGTTTTATGCTGTCACAGCTCACAATTGCTACCGTTGCATATCTAGTAAATAAGTAGTTCAGAGATCTTTTGCAGTTAAGATCGCTCATACACCTGAGACAAATTTGCAAGTCGTCGACTCATTTCATATCTCCCCCCCTTTTTTTTTGTTCAGACTTAATTTACTGGGTGTAAAAGCGCGAAGAAGAAAATAGGCCTGAATGACAAACCCTAACCTAAAAGTGCTCTACTTGCATTTATATTGACACGTGAGGGTGTACAAGTACAACCGCCTTCGCTTTTGTACCAACTGAGCTAGCCTATGAATCAGTTACAGTACGATCGATGTCCCTGTTCGCTTAGCTGATAAGCCATAGATAAAAGTATTGTTGGCTGATTTGTTGTGAGAAAAAAATAATGTTCGTTGACTGAAAAAAATACGGCTTATAAGCCAAGCGAACAGGGCTTGAGTAGCGTGTCGGTCACTAGGTCCAAGCATCTCCATCTCTGCACCCCCTCCAAGTTCAGAGGCGTTTGCACACCTGCTGCACTGCATTGCATTGCATAGACTGACAGAAGATGGCAACGCTAGCGATGCTACTCTTGCTCGCCCTGCTATCCAAGACGTTCTCCTCTTCAGCTCAAGGCCATGGCGTCGGGCGCTGGATCAATGCGCACGCCACCTTCTATGGCGGCGCCGACGCTTCCGGCACGATGGGTACGTACCTTGATCAGTTGGCCCCCCGGCGAGCTTCTTTTACCGATCGATGCTGTTGCTGCCTAATGAGCGTGGTTGATCATCAATTGCTGCTGCCTCCAATACCTATAAACTAATAAGGAGCAATGCACAGGTGGCGCGTGCGGGTACGGCGACCTGTACAGCCAGGGCTACGGCACGGCGACGACGGCGCTGTTCAGCGGCGGGCAGAGCTGCGGCGCGTGCTTCGAGCTGCGGTGCGCCGGCGGCGACCGTGGCTCGTACGCGCCAGGTCCGGGCGGCTTGTCATCATCCGTCGCGGTGACGGCCACCAACCTGTGCCCGCCCGACTACGCGCTCCCCAACGACGCCGGCGGGTGGCGCAACCCGCCGCTGCGGCACTTCGACCTGTCGCAGCCGGAGTTCCTCCGCATCGCCACGTACCGCGAGGGCATCGTGCCCGTCGCCTACCGCAGGGTGCCGTGCCGGAGGCGGGGCGGCATCCGGTTCACCGTCAACGGCCACCCCTACTTCAACCTGGTGCTGGTCGCCAACGTGGGCGGCGCCGGCGACGTGCGCCTCGACGGCCAGCCGCTCTCGTTCAGGGTCACCACCAGCGACCGCCGCTCCGTCGTGTCCTACAACGCCGCGCCGGCCGGGTGGGCGTTCGGCCAGACATTCACCGGCGCCCAGTTCCCGTAAACAACAGCCAACAATATTGCTGAAAGCCTGAAACAAGTTCAGTTTTTGCACGTGTATTGGGTGCGGCTTCACTGAATGTCTGAATCGATCATTCAATGAGATATATACATACATAAGCATGACTGCGTGGGCTCATCCTTTTGCATTTGTATATAAGATTTTGTACGTTTGGTGTATCCTAAACGAGGCTGCAAATCCGGATTTCTTCGTGTATATCGTAGCTAGCGCTAGCTGGAAGTGTTGAGAACGCGCGCGGAGGAGCAGGAGGGGAGTAAAAGCAAGATCGATCGCGGCAGGGATTTGTTTCCATGCATGGCTATCGCGGCAGTAACTCGGACGCGCTGGATGGTTCAAATCTTAGCCGCATCCAACACACTTACCGCATCAGGAATCCGGGATCCGGCGCACAAGGAGAAGGGATTTACACGGAGCATATCTGAAATTCATGCGCGGCAGATCGCGCCCCGCCGTCAATGCTGAGATACAGCTCAATTGCCCGATCGAGGATATGCATGGCGTCGCCGCCCGCCCGCCCGCTTATATAGCCAAGCGCGCGCGTGCGTGGATGGAAGACGGACATGGATGAGCGCCGGCGCCGGCTCAGCTAGAGAGATAATATTGATTGAAGATCATCGATCGCGGCGGCGACCATGGTGAGCGGAGAGGCCAGCGGAAAGAAGCGGAAGGCCTCCGCCGCCGAGGACACCACGTCGCCGGCGGCGAGGCGGGAGCCGCGGCGAGGGCTGGGCGTGGCGGAGCTGGAGCGGATCAGGGTGGCGCTCGAGATGGCCGAGCGCTGCTACGCCGCCGCGTCGTCCCTGTCGTCGGCGCCTCAGCATCACCCGCCGCCGGCGCTGCCTCTGGTCGTGCATGCGGCCGGCGTGGCAGCGGCGCCGGCACAGAACCAACACGTACGTGCGCCTGCCGATTCCGATGCAGCCCACTCTCTCCCTGTTCTCAGGCACTGTCAGAAAATAAAGAAAGTATTTTTAATTTCAGCAGTACAAGAATTTACAGGTCGGAAATGGAGCTGTTCATCACCTGCAAATGACAAGAGGGTATTTGGCTCCGTATTGCCTCGCCCAGCATTATTACGGCAATGATTCTTTGACCAGGCAAGTATTAGTACTACACAATTTGCATTTTTTTACCCATCATTGTGTTGCTTGAAGACGAGAAAGGCGTATATATATAAGCAAAATATAATGGCCTGTGACTTGCTTTAGACTCGTCACGATCATGCTTGGTTGGTTGTGTGCATCACGCAGCAGGCTGTTTACAACGAACGGCGGCCACAATTCGTCCCATCAGAACCATCATTCGTCTCATCAGAACCATAATCGTCAGGCCGATCAGGTTCAGAGCGCCGTCACTTCACTTCCTGTCATGGGACAGGCTGCGTCGTCTGAGGTATCTATCTATGTGCCATTCGCTTCGATGAAAAAATAAATCGAAACACTATTCTAGCTGATTTATTGTGTGAAAGAAATACTATTTCGACTAAAAAAACAAGTTAAAAAATACGAATTAGTATGAATTATAAGAGAAACGAACATGACATATATATATATATATATATATATATATAATATCTTTTCCCTCAAAACTCTAATCTTTTTTTCTTTTCTAGGTACATCCTTTACGATGTATCGACTTATAATTTAAAACATAGATCTTTACTTAACAATGTCCCCATAGGCTATGAATGTTTGGTTGATTTAGTTTACAGTGGCAAGTGTTGTTTACCTGGTCTGACGTGCAGAGCTCATCAACGGCGAGCCAGCGGCAGGGTCCTCGGCGAGCGCATGCCAAGCCTGGCCAGGCGACGCCGCTGGCGCTGCCCCAAGTCGCATTCCTGGACCTCGTCGATTCAGACGACGACACTGCCGGCGGCGACGTCGAGGAGCTGGACTTAGAGCTCAAACTATAGAACGAACTAGATTTGCTGTCAAAATGTTAGGTTGTTGATGATCCAACAATGTGTTCAATTCTTTATTTGCATAGAAGCCGTCAAAATTCATTGTAACTAAGTACACACTTCAAGTGTGCCGTACGCGTACGTAGATTCCCATTGTATAGAGCAGTTTGGTTAAACAGGAATGCCTAGTATAAATAAATAAATAAATAAATTTAATATAAAGTTCATTCTTTCGTGTAATAAAAAACAAAAAGTCGTCTTAATGATGCGTTGACGTAAACTTGGCACAGCGCCTTCCACCCGGCCCCTGCCCGTACTATAAAAGCGCTCCTCCCCCACAATTTTAAAAACCATATAACTATAATAAAAAATAAAATAAAGGCTCGACGCCTCGACGTCGTCGTCACCTCTCTCGCCGTCCACGAGTCACGGCGGGTGGCGGCGTCGGCTGTCAGCGGCGGTCGGGGATCCTGGCCGCTCACCACCATGCCTGACCCCACCACCAAACCCCCCTCGCCACGGCCCCGCCGCCGCCGCAGGCTCTGCGGCCTCTGCCTCGGCACCGCGCTCCTCGCGCTCCTCGTCTCCGCGCTCGTCCACGTCGTCGCCCCGCCGCCGCGTCCCGCCCCCGCCTCCGCCTCCGCGCTCTTCTCCGTCTTCATAGACGGAGGCAGCACGGGCACCCGTGCCCACGTCTTCGCCACGGGGCGCGACGGCCGCCCGGATCTGGCGCGCTCCACCGTGATGCGCGTCTCCCCGGGCCTCTCGTCCTTCGCCGCCGACCCGGCGCGGGCCGGGGAGTCTCTGAAACCGCTGATAGATTTCGCGAGGGATGAGATTGGCGGCGCGGGCGGCGCCGCTGGGGAGGCGGAGGTGCGGCTCATGGCCACCGCAGGGCTGCGCCTGCTCGAGGAGCGCGCCCAGGAGGCGATCTTGGCGTCTTGCAGGGACGTACTACGAGCCTCTGGGTTCCGGTTCGAGGACGCGTGGGCCAAGGTGATCCCAGGTACTGCTTTCCTCTTGCCGTTTTCTGCCACCTGGGGAAGTGATTGTACTTTAGCTCTGATGCTCAGTGGCTGATTGCATTGTGGATACGGAATTGGGTGTTTAAATGAAATGATCAATAATGCAATGAATTGGAAATGCTAACTGATTTCAGGTGTTTATGTAAAGAGAGCGCCAATTGCTGCTGGTTCGTTGTTGCAAACTTGCAATAGATGTGAGCTGATGGATTTGGAAATGACTAGCAGAAATATGAATGGCTATGCAGCTCTGGGCATTACTATATGGCATTTCTGTTGGTTGAGTAACAGACCAAAAACTTGAATCAAAACGAAGCATAAAATTTCATTGGGGGTATGGTGTGTAAAAGTGCCCTTTTGAAATACTTTCAACTTGTTTGCTTACACTTGCTGGTACCTCTTTTACAGGCTCGGATGAAGGTATCTATGCTTGGGTTGCGGCAAATTATGCTCTTGGCAGACTTGGAGGGGATCCTAACAAAACCGTTGGAATAATTGAACTTGGGGGCGCTTCAGCTCAGGTTCAGCGATGAGTGCATACACAGTTTGTGATCCTTTCCTCTGGGATCTTGGATCTTGTTTAAATACAGTTCATGCTAATGAGTCCCTGATAGTGTACTAAAATTCAAAAGGACTCACTTACCTGAAATTATGATTTCTGTAAGATTTATAAATGCCTTCAGTAATATAGGATGGTCAAATTCCACTTATGGTTTCTTGATGTCAATACATATAATAGTTTTTATTTTTCTGGTCATATTCCAAAATATGTTTTTTTTAACAAAGTAACTGTTGCTGTTTTGTTTCAGCTTACCTTTGTTTCTGATGAAGTACTTCCACCCGAACTGTCATATAATTATACTTTTGGTGAAAGAACATACACTCTCTATACCAACAGCTTTTTAAACTTTGGTCAAGTGAGTTATTTATATCCACTGACTCTTCTACTTTGTATAACCTTGTGAATCCTACAATAGATTAACCGGCTGATGAATCATTTACTTCTGCAGAATGCAGCTCAAGACTCGTTCCATGAAATGCTGAGGTCAAGAGGTATTTGTTTGGATTTAAATTTTCCTTACTCTATCAATATGGTCAGCCTAGACTTTTGCACTATTGAAAGCTTTGTTTCTGAGACCTGTGGCGTCCTGTTCCTGTGTCATTGGGAACATGCACTAGACCTAGGTGACTAGGCGTAACCGCGTAACTAAGACCTTATGATGTCCCATGGCATTGAGGACACTCCTGGATGCCTCAAAAAACAATGCTTGCAACTATAATTAGGAATTCAGCACCTGATGTACAAGGGAACTAAGTCTCACAAAATATATACTCTGAATGAAGAGTTCATTCACACTGTCACACGACTAGACACTACTTCATGAACACAGTGCCTATAAGTAATTCTTACTACAATTATTTTGGTATGCTATGTAAGTACAAATGTACCTGGACCATAGTTATAGAATAGGAGCCATTTTAGCAGTTTGATGAAGTGAGTGCTTGACTGAAAAATTTCTGAAGCAGTTACTCATTCCATTGGCTTATTGTATACTTGGTAACTAAACAGAGTGTAAGATGTGTGGGAAACAGGAAGGGATTAATATGTTGTGTTTTCTACAGTTTCATTATAGTCTATGGAGCTACTAAGTACTAATTACCAAGCGAAGTAGCTCTTCAAGTTCACCACCCGCATTTGCAGGCTCTTCCAAAAATGGTACACTTGCTGATCCTTGTGCTCCCAGAGGATATTCACACAATGAAGAAGTGATGGTGAGGATGAGCGGTGCTTCAAGGTCGACATTAGAGAACCAATATGTTGATAATGGGACTGGAAACTTTACGGAGTGCATATCTTCTTCGCTGCTGTTACTGCAAAAAGGAAAGGGTAAGAAATATATGCAAAACTACAAATCTTTGTTCAGTTGTTCACATACACTGACATAAAAATCACTTGAAGATAGATGTTTTTCACTGATGCACCAAGTCAATACCTTTTGCAAATCTCATGCGCTTCAAATATTTTGCCTAACTGTTTCTGAATTAGTATACCTGAACAAGCTCAATTTAGCATGATGTCTGACAGATTAGTGCCACATGTATCTCATATAAATGCAGAAAAGTGCCAGTATCAACATTGTCACCTGGGATCTACTTTCGTACCTGAGCTGCGTGGATACTTCTTGGCAACTGAAAATTTCTATTTTACTTCAAAGGTCCATTACATGTTTCTTTTCTCCTTTTGCATGTCAACCTTTTCTTCTGACACTTCTAACTCCTGTACATTCTCTGTCAGTTCTTTGGACTTAAGAAGTCTTCATCACTATCTGATTTTATGTTTGCTGGAGAACAATTTTGCAATCAGGATTTGTCCACCCTTAGAAAAAAGTATCCTAATAGGTCAGATGAACATTTTTCACGGTATTGCTTCTCGATGGCATATATTGTGGCTCTACTGCATGACAGTCTTGGTGTACCACTGGATGATAAGAGGCAAGCATATTGAGTACGCCATAGTGAAATTTACTCCCAAGTGATCTCATATGCTCATCTAATTTAATTTTCTCCTGATTAGGATTGAGTATTCAAACCAGGTTGGAGACATTCAGGTTGAATGGGCTCTAGGAGCTTTCATCACACTGACGCAAAATACAAGTTTAAAGCCATTACACACCGCTGCAGAATCAACCCATAGCAATAGACCATTGTTTGCTTTGCTGGGAATGTTTCTTTTATGTGGAGTACTTTTTGTATCAAGATGGAGGAAGCCCAAGACGAAAATCATATACGACTTAGAAAAAGGCCGATACATCATAACACGCATCAGCTGACGCTGAACCTTGTGCAGAAGAACTATATTTATACGACAGGAATAGATGTTGTTGTGTTGTACAACAATGTACGAGTTCAATTCTTTGTGTTTTATCTTAGGTAGCAGAGCTGGGTGGGTGGAGCATGGAAGATAGCGCATTTGTGCGTATAGAAGAATGTGTAGAACAATTTGTCATGTGTTAATTGAATTATTTTGGTGAATAAATATAGTTGTTTTGTTTCATCTAATGAGCTCGATATGTCTCACACAACAATTTGTCATGTGTTAATTTAATTCTTTTGGTGAATAAGTAAGTATAGTTATTTTTGTTCACGTTATGAGCCTGGAATTTCTCAGATACACATATATGGAGATACTGTAGTTGTAGGCAAAGTTTGTGGTGACTGGTGGAGTTCATGGAATTATGGAAACTAGATTCTTGGTTCATACATTGATACATTCATACCGGGATGCAAAATGCAATCATGCAACAAGCTGGACTGGAAGTTGTTTCCCTTTTGTCTCGGCTTTCCGAGGGTTCATATAAGTTTATTATTAAGCTGCAACCAGTGTGTCAAGATGGCCGAGTTGGTCTAAGGCGCCAGTTTCAGGTACTGGTCCGAAAGGGCATGGGTTCGAATCCCATTCTTGACAGATTATTTTTGTTTTGTGCTAAACTTCTGTGTTTTGCTCCTAAGTGAACCTCTGTACTTGGCTACTTTCAGAGTTCCTTTTGTCTTTTATGCTAAACATCTGTTTTTTGCTCTTTCCCAAATGGACCTTAGTAATTTAAAGTAGAGTTCTTTTTGTTTTTTGTGCTAGACCTCTGTGTTTTCCTTTTCTGAATGAAGCAGAGTTCTAGCCGTTTTTAACAAAAATGTAACAGTAACAAAAATGTAACTAGTAAAAAACCGTACTGACCTTTATAGCTTTATATACGTATTTTTTTCAAATAATACTATGCAGATACATATGCTTTGCAGTAACCTTAACAGCATCTCCAAGAGTATCCAAAACAGTCTCTCAATCTAAGATTTTTAGCAAGATTGAAGAAAAAAAATCATCTCCAACAATTCCCAATCCCACCTCCCAATCTTTTGACACGTAGAAAAAAATCATCCCCAAGCACGGAAAAATCCGCGGACTTACGATCCTGTATCCCCGGCGTCTTCTCCTTCGCGCGCCAAAGAGGAGAGCCCCGTGACATTTTACACGGGAGATGTCGGCGTGATGCACCCGGACGGGTACATGGAGATCTGGGACCGGTCCAAGGATGTGATCATCAGCGCCTGGGAGAACATCATCAGCGTGGAGGTGGAGACCGTGCTCTACAACCACCCTTTGGTGAACGAGGCAACGGTGGTGGCGCGAACCGGACGAGTTCTGTGTGTGTATGTATGGAGACAAAATAAAATTTTATGTGGGACCAAATTTTTGATATTTTAGAAGTGATTTAATGGAAACCGTTGAAGATGATCTTATTTAGTGCTCCCAGTACTTTTTTCAACTTGAAAAACTCTTTGGTTTTCGGAAGAAATTCTTAGGGACTCTTGGAGATGCTTTAACACATCTAGGCCACATAAGCCCATAATATCATGCATACCCTAATTTAGGCCTTAATATTTGTCGGGGGCCGATACTAGGGTACCCAAAGAGGAGGAGCTAATGACCATCAACATTGATTCATCAAAGCAGTCAAGAGCGCGACTACAGCTCCAACCGACCCCAGGCGCGCAAGCTTCGCCTCGCTCGACCCCTGGGGGAGGGCTCCGCCTCGCCCGACCCCAAGGCCACGGGTTCCGTCACGCCCGACCTCTGGGGCGGGCTCCGCCTCGCCCGACCCTTGGGATCGCGCTTCGCCTCGCCCGACCCTAGGACCGCGGGCTCCGCCTCGCCCGACCCCGGGACCACGGACTCCGCCTCGCCTGACCCCAAGGCCGCTGGCTCTGTCTCGCCCGACCCTTGGGTCGGCACTCGGCCTTGTCCGACCCTTGGGTTCGCGCTCCACCTCGCCTGACCCTAGGACCACGGACTCTGCCTCGCCCGACCCTTGGGTTGGCGCTTCTCCTCACCCGATGGAGGCCCATACCACCGCCAACCACTCCAGGTCCAAGCGTATGGGCCTGGATCAAAGCTCTGACACCAGGGAAGAGACCGGCACGCCCCCGATGTAACCCGTGGCCATGATGGGCCATATCGGAAGATTCACATCAAGAACAACATCGAACGTACCGGTACTGTTCTGCCTAACCCTCGTACGAACACTGACAGGCACGTCGGTTCACCACGACGTCCGCCAAGAATAGAGTGGAGCGCCATAACCGGCAGATGACACCTGCGCATGGCGCCAGTGACGAACAAGACCGCGACGTGGCGCCATCCCTGTTAACATCTATAGTGTCGATGGGACCCGTATGAAGGAGAGGAAGGACCCAACGACCCTGCTCTCTCTCGTTCTTCTCTTTCCTTCTGCTGCAACCCGTACTTTCCCTTGGCCTATAAAAGGGAAAGCAGGGCGCCCCATTAGGGGGCATCAGATCGATTCAAGCCAGATCCGAACAAACCCATCAAACCCCGAACACACGGCTGAGCAGCACCCGTTTACTCCTTTCACCAGAGACTTAGGACCTGTCCCTCTCTCGCCCGTTTGTAATCCCTACTACGAACTTTCAGTGCTAGTAACACGAGCAACAGCAACGAACTGGACGTAGGGACATTCTGCCCGAACTAGTATAAACCTCATGTCCTCTTAGCACACCATCCGAGCTAGACGCGTAATATTAGAAATTTACTCGTTGGTGGTAACTCGAAACACCGACAGTTGGCGCGTCAGGTAGGGGCCTTTTGCGTGTCTCAACATCCACACCAGGCCTCGGATGGCTAATCACAACATCAGCTGGGTCCCAGGCGCGCACATGCGCTTCGGGAACCTGGACTTCATCATCACGATGGAAGGAGAGTTGGCGCAGGCTCCCGCCGCCATCCAACCTCTCTACTTTGCTGACATTGACACGATCACCGAGGCGATGGAGGAGCTGCAGCTACACGCACCGGAGGCCCGCGCCCCTGGGAGCAACCAGCTCCTCGGCTTCGACTACAGGAGGTTAGAGCACCAGCTCGACGCCTTCCTAAGACCTCGACCGTCCTGGGAGGACCTGCGCGACCTCACCTTTTCATTCGCCAATGTCATGGCATAGCTTGGTGAAGAAGAGACGCTCTCTCCGGCATACCTCATCCGGAGCGCCCCGACAGTGCTCCCATCCAGTCTCCGCAACGCCGTAGAGACCGTTGGCCACCTTGTGGCGCAACGTGCGCCTCCATCCCCCGTGAACGACGAGTTCGTGGGGATGACCGAATACGTCATGGAGTCTTTCCACGACCTCCTCGCGAGAGAAACGGAGTTGTCCTCCACCTCTGACTCTAGCGGGGGGAGCCACCACCCCTTTCGTGAATGTTTCATGGTAGATACCCCCGAGGGACGCGTTGAAAGCATCCACAAGGAAGAGGCTACCCCAATGAACGACCTCAACGATGAAGTCGAGGGGGATACGGGGGCCCCACCCCACCTACGGGTGGAGCAGCTAAAGGCCTAGCACCAAGAGCTCGAGGAAGCGCGACTTTAGCTCGAGCAGGAACACATGGAGCTCAAGCGAGAGATCGAGCGCCACGAAGATGGTGGGTGCGCGCACGCCATGGCCCGTGACATGAACCGGAGGATCGTCGAGGACGATGAAGCCCTCCCACACTTCACTCGGGTGAGCCAGAACATCGCTGTTGCGACGGCCTTGCTCCGAGGGCTTTCAGGGCCCATGACGCCCGAGGATTGTCGGGCCCATCGTGAGATTCGCATGCTACTCGAGCGTGTGGCGGCGCAGTAGGCCGAGAGCTCGTTGTCTCGACGATGCGACCTCGACGCCAGCCAGCACACGCCCTTGGAGCGACCCGACAAGGACGCGTCAGTCCACTAGGCGCCGCAAGGTGGTAGGCCACGCACTGTGGTCCCGATGCATGAGCGTCTCGACCGCCACAGTGACGTGCGCGACACCCTTGATGCCCATAGGCGTGCCCGTGGCCATATGAGAGAGGGGGCTTGCCGTGGCAACCACCCTTGTTGTGGCGGATGCTACGACAGCGGCGAGGTCCAAAGCCCGAGCCCTGACCTGCTAGGACCTTAGGCCTTCGGTCGACACATCCTCAACGCCGCCTTCCCGCCACGGTACCGACCACCAACCAACATCCTGAAATACTCTGGAGAAACAAACCCTAGACTATGGCTCGAGGATTACCGGCTTGCCTACCAAGCCGGTGGAGCGGATAATGATGATTTCATTATCCGCAACCTTCCATTGTTCCTGGATGATTCGGCACGAACATGGTTGGAACACCTTCCGCTCAACAGAATCCAAAGTTGGGCGGACCTAAAGGAGATCTTCATGAGAAACTTCTAGGGCACATGCAAGCGTCCTAGGAACCCATGGGATATCAAAAACTGCCGATAGAAGGACGGGGAAACCCTTCATGGGTACATCCAGTGCTTCTCCCGACAGTGCAACGAGCTGCCTAACGTCGCCGATGTCGACGTCATAGGAGCTTTCCTGTCTAGGACCACTTGTGACTCCCTAGTTCACAAGCTAGGACATAAGTGCACACGAACCACCAAGGAGCTCCTCGACATTGCCACCAGCCATGTCTTGGGCAAGGAAGCGGTTGGAGCGATTGTAACACCCCGGTGTTATGACCAGCATTTAGGCACTGCAAATCATGCATATCATGCATCATCAAACATCCTAATCATACATGCCTAATCATGTAAATAATAACTGAAACCCTGCTTCGAAACATACGAAACATGCTCGTGAAACATGAATGTTGCATACACTTGTTTAGAGTTGTTTTGCCATGATTATGCTTGCTAGGTTAGTAAAACATGTTTGGCTATGATTGTAAATCATCTAGAATTATTTAGCATAATTTTTGGAGCAAAGTTTGTATTCAAATTATTGCCAAATTTTGCTTTAA